AGGTTCGGGTCAGACCCTCATTACCAGGTGTGACAGTGAGGAACAGAGCATCATGGGGAGACTCTGGGCTTGTTGACTCAGGTTCGGGTCAGACCTTCACTGTCAGGTGTGATAGTGAGCAGATGAATCTCGCAGTGAGACTCTGGTTGTTTGAGTAATATCCTCACTGTCAGGGGGACACTGAGAATGTACGTATAAGAACCTCACCCTCAGGTGTGACAGTGAGCAGATGAGTCCTGAGATGGGACCTAAACATCTGTATAAGAACTTCACTGTCAGTTGAGGCAGCGAGACTCCAGGCCTCACAGTGAGACCTTGTGAAAGATCAACCCGAGAAGGGGTCGGTTCCAGCCTGTTCTGGGGTCTGGAGAACTGGGGAGAGGGAGAACGGGGCTGTTTGAGAGAAAGACTGGGCTCGAGTTTGAGTTAGAGGCAGAGTTTCTCTGTGTGACTTCTGTTAATGCTCAGGGAAGGACACGTTTTTTTCAGGCGAAACTCGGTCTCGTGGGTGAGACGCTGAGTTAGTAGCAAAAGACTCCAGGTTAAAGGTTTCATAAGGGTTTCAAGGTGGTATGATTATTGAGAGCAGGGCAAACTCCCACAGAGTAGCAGCCCCAGCCTTGTCGCCACACCAGTAAAAAGAAAACAGTAAGAGCAAGACCGGCCAAATACATCAACCGGGATGAGGTACTTGCAACTGCTCCTAACCACAAATTAAAATGAGCATACAACCAAGGGACCAAAATCAGGTCAGCAGAATAACAATAACAATGCTGGTGCAGACACCACCTTGATTTCTGTTAAATCGGGTGTTATTGTATGCAGGTTTCCCACGTTCAGCTACTATTAAAATGGCCATCTGGCACAATCATACTAATGTGTGTATCAAACTGATTGTAATTTTATCGTACTATTTATACTAGTGTATCATTGTATTTCTATTACAATTTTACTTGTATCACATTGATCTTATCTTGTATCATACTGATTTTAATTTGCCCCATACTAATTTTTCTTTGCACCATTCTGATCTTACCATGTATGTTGATTAAATACAGTCTTACAAATCACACAGTCAGGTGTAAGGCTTAAATGAATAAGGCGGAGACACAAACGGTGCCACCCTTCCACATCTGTAGCAGGAAAGGCTGGAGTGACAAGAAATACAGTACATGCAAAACACACGTCAGGCACTTACCCTCACACGCGTTGGCGCTTTCAGAGGTGGCTACTTGCCATGGCTTTTGGTTGAACCCTGGGCAGCAGCGATCGCAGGTCTCCCCACAAGTGTTATGCTGACAGTCGCATTGAAGTCTGGAATACGAGTGGTTTATTTAAGATATTAGCTGCTTCTTTGGCATTAATAGAGGGTACAAGTTCACAATGTAGTTAGCAGCAGTAGATCGGCAACATCATGAAGCTGGAAGTTGGAATTGATACTGATATGAAGTTGGAATTCTATGGAAGTGTTACATGGATTTCAAACTCTCACACGGGTCAAGAATGTAAAGAGCCTGCAAACCTCTTTCAGCTCAAGTACTTTTATCAGCTTTTTAGTGAGTTGGGAGAATAATGGCCTTTAAGATTCCATTACATTATGTTTAGAGATGGCCAAGAAAGAGAAGAAAATATTAATTTGCATCTGATTTTGCATGGATTACATCTAAAGCATGCGCTGTGATGTTTTGACAACTCAAAGGAACTGTATCATGAGTTTCTCTGATTTAATTCTTTCAATACTTTAAAAGCTTGTTTTGTGCCCGTTTCCCAGGCATTCCAAAGTTTTAAGTTTTTATTTTGCAAAAACATTTAGATGTTTCAGCCAAGTTAACTCAAGCAGATTATCAGGACAAATTTTCAAGTATTTCAAAGTTTGCTTCATGTTCTCCCTCTCCAAATATAGACTATTTAAAACTTTATCTTTATCTTTAAGCAAAAAAACATTTATTTTCATTTTTTGAATTTCTAATATGATGGACACCTTCATATATTTATAGTTCTGTTCATTAAAATAGGAGAAAATTGTATGTCATCAAAATTTTTTGATAATCTCCCCCCTCCCCCATAACTTTGCTAAAATCATTCCTTGTATAAGTTGATGTTCATTTGTTCTCCACCCACGAACAACCTCTCATCTTGCAATTAATACCAATCTGGGAATCTAAAATAAACCAACTGAAAATTTATTGTAATTATCTTGTTTTTACCAAGCCCCCAAACTGAACCTCCTGTCTTAATTGCCTGCGAGCAAGATGTTATTGTTAAAGGTTTAATTTGTGTTCTTTCTAAAGAATGAACTTCCTTTTGTTTTCTAACAGGATATAAGCCTCACCCATTTGATCCATAAATAAAGACATTAAATGACAATCTCTATTTTAGCAAGTCTTTTAAAAGCTTTCATTTTCATTAGACCCAGTAGAATCACTGCTATTTATCTATTTGCCTTTTGAGATACAAAAATATAAAGCACACAATTTGATTAAATTATGTTATAGAAAGACAAGTATTGGGACAATACAGACACAATAGTTCCGCAACTCCTAATCATTCTTCATTTTAAGTTTCTTCAAGAATAACCGATTCCTCATTGACACTATCACACAAAGTGTGTACCTATCCTTTGGGTATATGCTGTTCATGAGCAGAGGCAACTTGTTACACAGGTTTTGGGAATATCCAGATGTAGCTAGATCTGGGGAAAAGATGTTGAAAAGAGATGTGATTAAAGAGATGTTGGCATTGTGTTGAGATCCCTCACATCTCCATCCTGGGCATCTCTGAATCCTGTGCTATCAAGTCTTTATCTGGACCTCTGTTAGAGGCCTGCAGTGCCTCTGGTACCTCTGTGAAATCTATTTGCTTTATTTTCAGGTTCCTTTGTAACAATCATTTTTTTCCTCATGTTATATTCTGGTTTTGAAATCTTTAAAATAAAGCAAAACCGTTTCCCACAAAATCGCAACATTGTGGCAATATAAATAACCAACCAACAGCTTTTCAGAATGTCTCTGAGGAAAGCAGACCGAATGTTTTACAGACATTATTTGGACTCTTACAATTCAGAAGGACTTTGTTACCTACAAAATGTCACCTACAGTACAGGATAGCTCTGGATGAATTTGGCAGGGAAGCTGACAGATTTTTTAAAATAAAATTAATCTTTTTAAAAGAATTATATATCTTTTACTCTCTTGTCTTCCATACTATTGTCTGTCACTATATTACCACACTGTCGGTTTCACTTTAACCTTTTACAATGACTGGTTGATTTTATTCAGGACCAAAAATCTCTGAAAACCATCCTATTTGTATTGTACCATCGGGAGCCTTTCTAGGCAGATTAAAAGTATTGCCATTTCAACTACTACGCTCTGGGTGGTAGCTGGTAGAAGGGTAGGCGGGTCCTGTACATTCTTCACTCGAGCCACAGCTGCTGATTGGGCTAGAGCTCACCCCGGTTTTCAAGGCGTTGAGCAAACACAGACCACGTGACCCAGTCCATCACAGAACGTATGGCCTGCTGGTCCCCAGTCAGGCAGCTGGGTGGCCTGGAGCAACTGGAGTGAAGCATCTGCACCAGGGACTCAAACCCACAACCCGCCAGTCAAGAATCTAGAGACTTACCCTCTACCCTGAGCTGCCCCTGCTCCTTTATCGGCACAGACAGGAATCCAGAGACTTTGGATGTTGTAATTTAAATGGATTTTATCCTAAAAGGTTGTGGAAACGCAGAGTAACTCAGCACTCACCGGAATGGGTTTGCAGGGTTCCGGGCATCACACACTTGTGCGTGTCCGTGACACACACAGCGCCCCCCAACGCTGATGTCCTTAATGCTGTAGTAATACTGCAAAAACAAGTCATTCAAAAACTTTTTTTTTAAAAAACAAATGTTTTGTTTTATAACACAACAGAATGCAAAATCTGGAAAAGGACTGAAAAAAATGCACACAAGCTGTAAGCTGACTGTTCCTTTGTTGAGTTGAGTACAAGGGTAGGACCATCTTGTAACCCCAGAACGTAAAAGAGACTCAGCATTTACAATTCTGATGTAGTGATTAACTTATGAGTCATTTTTTAAGCTGACATGTTCTCTTATGCTATACAATCCCTTGAATAATTTCTCAAAGGGTCAATACTATCAGGTTTTCAAACGTCTACACAATAAATCAAATCATCTTCCTACTGCAGTAGATATTGCAAATATAGACACGTACGATATTTATTAAAAACAGTACATTAACATAATAACAACAAACCCTCTGCTGCCAGCAGGAATAAGATGAAATGGGATAAGGTTAACTAACTTTTGTTTTAAGGTATGATAAAGCAAACGCCTCTGATAACATACTAAAGTCAGTTTCATTCAGACAGGGTAATCATTAATGTAGACCAAGTCATGAATAATATTTGGTGTACAAATGTTCATAAAGCTTGTCTTTGCTTGAGAAGTAGCTCCAGTGTGCCTACCAATTTTCCAGATGTCTGCAAACACACATACTATACTATTTCTGCAGTACATTATATCGCTCCTAAGAAAACCCGCCTAAGAGAACACACTGATTTCAGGCCAGCTGCTCTTACATCTTTTTTGATTAACTCATTGGTTCAGAATGTCTCCCGGTCAGTAAATGGCAAACTTGATCCCTATCAGTTTGCTTATAAACAAGGGCAAAGCACAGAAGATGCTGTAGTTACTGTACCCTCACTCAATAAGAATTTGGACAAACACAAACCATATGCCAGGGTGCTTTTCCTTAACTTTTCTTCAGCAGAATTTGACCAGACATCTTAACATTATTTCATTATGAAAAATTATTCAATTACTGTAAGGTCTCAACATCTGCAAATGTAACATTAGGGAATTTGCTTATTCTCAATTTGGTCTGGCACGGGGTCTTATATGGAAGAAGAGCAGAGCAGGATGAAACTGAGCCAAAGGTTGTGAAGCACAACTTTCAAATTAGCGGCACAGCAGACTAGGACTGTGAAACCAATCTACATAGTGAGTGAGTGTTAAGGGGAGCTGCCGAAAGGTATATCAGGACCCTGTGCGGTGATCTAAGAGCGTTAGCGAGAAATCCAAATCGCTAGGCAAAGACGTAGTCGGTAAACAGGCAAAAATACATAAGACCAAGGGGTTAAGAACAGGAAGCCAACAGGAGAACAACAGGTGAGGAAGGAAATCCAGGGGAGCAACAAATACCGAGCGCTGACTGATACTGAATGAGGGTTTATAAGGACTGGAGACTGGGGTGAGTTCAGTGAAGGACAGCTGAGACTGATTAATTAACACATGTGGCGGTGCTTTGTGGAATTAGCCGGCACTGGGGACTGGTAAGAGCGTTTTCTGGTAACAGGTTTCTGATTGCTGTCCTTACATCAATTTCCCTACGGGATTAATAAAGTATTATCTATCTATCTAACAGTGAGCCACTCCCTTCCCCCCGCCCAAGTACCCACTACCCAGCATCCCCATCCCAGCGTGGTCCTGTTTTTAAACTGTAACAAACGCTCCAGGCTCTGTGTCAGCAGTGCGGAGAAGGACTCACTCACAGTTTTATTGCCCGTTTTATTTTACAGTTGGGCCTGCTGATCATGGAGTCAGAGAAAGAAAGTGCAGGTATCTGCTGGAAACAGAGGATGGATTAATTTTGTTTATTTTAGCTGATTATTGTAAGTAACTATACTGTATATACTGTAGTAACTATTATTTATAGCTGATAAATAAGTTATTTAAATTAACTTTTAACTATCATATGAGATACTGTTATTATGCCTTTTGACCATATACACTATATACTTTAGTACATTATGTGAAAGTATTGAGGTGGACGTGGTTATATGCCAAGTTAGCTATTCGTGTTCCCTGCCCCAAACCCTTTTTAATGTCAAGACCTTACTGTACACATTAACCCATATCTGATATTTTAGCACAATTAATTCCTTACGATATTGATTTCGGCAGGTGGAAGTTAATAATACACATTTTTCTTAGGTAATAACTAACTCTGGGGCATCCAGGGATGTGTGAGTTCACCACTGCTCTTCACTCTCTATACAGATGATTGTGTTTCCAGTGGTACAAGGCACATGCTAAATAGATAAGACTTTATTGATTCCAAAGGGAAATTGATCCTGACATTATTTGTAATAAAGTACAACAGTGAATTTACACAGGTCAGGGGTGTTTGGTGCCAGAAGTCAGATTCTTCCATGTTTTTCAGTTCTATGTTAAAGTGTCATGCAGTATTGAATAACTGTCTGGTATAACAGTATTTCTGTGCACCAAAAAGCCAAGCTATCCAGACTTTTGAGGATATGTTTGACGTTAGTGGGGCAGTCACCTGACCTGCGCTTTCAAACTGTTGACAGTAAGGGTGTGTTTAGACTAGTTAGTACCTCCTCTCATTCCACACATGCTCTGCATGAAGATGCCTTCAAACAGACATTTTAGAGACCCTCAATGCAGACGCAACAAAATGAGGAAATCCTTTATCCCACATGCACTATACTGTAACTACTCAATAAACATGTTCACAATAAAGAAGCACTGGTTAATGGACAAGTACAACTAGTGGTTATGTGCAAAAATTAAGGGGTGCTGTGCAATTATAGGGGGAAGTAAACTCACAGGTTATGCTGTAGCTCTGTGGATTCCTGTAGGAGTGGGATATAATTACTATGTATGGGTTGACGTCTTTTATGTCATATGTATTTTGAATGCTATATTTATTTGTACTGTTTCATGTTTTTTGTAAGTCTCTGTGCGAGGGAACCACAGGTGCCCGAACACAAAACAAATTTCAGAGAAATTACCATATCACATGGTAAAGGAGAGGTTATTGCAATCTGTGGGCTGGGTTTGAATAATCTTCAAGTCACTAAACTACATTTACCTGCCAGCTCTGGTTGTAAACCTTGCCTTGGCATCAAGCCCAACAGCTTGGAATGCACAAGGAGGGGAATTCATGGAAAAGTACTTTGGTGTCAGCAAACAGTTTAAAAATATACACAACAGTTGATTAGGTTGGGTTGATAGAGTAAATAACACGATGATCCCTGTGATCAATTCTAACTCAGTGGAGAACTTGGGAGATTATGTACACAACTGAAAGCTTACAAACCTCCTGCTAAACTAACAACATCTGTTCCAAAGTTCAAGCAGTGACTTATGGAGTGTATAAACTACATGTAATAATATTAGCACTTTAATACATACATAACACATGCTTTCGTAGAGAGTTTTCCTACATTAGAAAATTTAAAAAACAACCCTACAGTGAGTAGTGAAATTTTCATTTCAAGCTTTAGTGAATGTGTTCGCCTTTTCACAAACCATTTCAATATTTGTTTGTGCTCCACGATGTCAGCTGAGTTTTCTGGAAGATTACAATCACTCATGAATTGCCTTCACAGCCTATCAAGAACAACTCAAGCAAGGATGTGCATAGAAGGCCAGTAAACCTGGACTCTTCAGGTCTGTTCTGTGACAGTCAATGAGTCTAATAAGAAAAGAAATGAAATCATCGGAGGACGAGAGTCATGTATTAAACTGTTACTGAAGCAGGATATAAAACTGCTCCAGCAAATTGTATCAAAGGAAGATGCTTTGTTCAGTGCAACTGTAACAAAGAGAAGTTCATTGTAAAACTGTGGAAGATACTTTTACTTTCTGCGATTGTTATATTTTGGGGAAACGCCTAGAACAAGCATGTGGTATTTGTTTGTTTTTTCATTATTTAAAAAATTATACATAAATTTAAAAATTGAGCAAAGTATTTTCAAAATAAAAACTAAATGCACTATTAACTCATCATAATTCTCAGAATGATTTATTCTCTGGAAACAGGGCCTGCAGATCTCATCTCACATAACAGAAGTTAAACATGGTAAAGAACACACACTTTTGCTAGCTGTAGTATTGCAACACGCACATATGGGCAGGATATTGCATTACATTTTTTCAAGGAAGAGAGATATGTCATAGATGAAGCTGATTATTCTACGAAGGCCGACAAGAACGTTCAATATCAGACACCAGGCATCCCCTCACCACATGCTTGGGAAGGTCAGCCCCAGTTCAGAGCTCCTTTCACTTTAGGGGAATTTAAATTTTCTTGTGATTATGATACAAATTCTATATATCCAGTGCTGCATTTCCTGGGGTCAAGTCTTTTTGGAAGATACTGTTACAAAATAGCAGGCAGGAAATAAATAGGCGGTATATGAAATGTGTGCTTTTGTTCTCATCCAATACATTCCCGAGGACAGAATAATATATCGGGTTCAAAGTTAGATCAAACAAAAAAAATCATATTAATAACATGACTGCACAACAGTTACACTATAGACAGGTAAAGTATGTACAGTACAATTAAAGGGTTGCAGAGTTGTGTCCTATATTACAATATACAAGTTTACCTAAAATATCTAGAATTTCCCCCCGTGATCCAAATATACAAAAAAACACCTTAAATAGGTCCAGAAAATAAACTTGCATCTTAATAAAAATGGATCCTGCCCAGGACTAAATCTCCCTGTCTAAAACACAAATACCTGCACAAAATGGGAACAGATTTCCTCTATTCCAACATAACATCACTGAAATAGGAAGGAATGTTTTTAGCCTAAGGATTTCACACCCAGGAAATTCAGATTCCACAACTTTGGAGGAAGAAGTGGATAATGGATGATGACATTCCTTCTTCTCTGTTCTTCTCCCCACTCCCCTTGCTACTCTCCTTTGTCTCCTTTCTTCTTGTATCTCTGTTGGCGTATTTATCAAGGGGTCTATTCTTATGGAGACTTAATGACCTCACCAGGAAGTGACTAAATACCACTCCGAAAAACCTTTTTCTGAGCCTTTGAAGTAGGACAATCCAGCTGTGAAGTACCAACGCGCCAAACTTGAACTAACCCCCTCTGTCACCACAATATGAAAGACATACAAAGGTTTTGTCCAAATTGGGGCTTCACAATAATTTTCCCCATTGCTGACCATGTACAGTATACCACAAAAAACAACTAATGCCTTCATTGCACCTCCGTGCGCTGTAATATTTTATTTAGGCAGTTCTCATTGTAAATGATCTTGTCATCCAACAAAACAAACAGAATTTATATGTGTTGTCATATAATGTAAACTGAATATGCCTTTAAGAGAGCTTTGTTATGACAATAATTGCTGTATCCTGTGAAATGTTCTAACATAACGGTTTACGGCACCGGGGACAAGCTGCCAGTGGAATGCTATGTTAAATTGTAAAAAAGGCTCCCGCAGTAAAGCTTAGTTCTGTTGGCTATAAACTTGGGTAGACATTTATTCATACTTCTTCGCCGCTTTTTACATGTGTCATCAGAAAAGCAGATTTCTCATGCTCACCCTGCGGGTAACAGTTGGGTCCCGCTGGGCCTTCGATATCAGGTGTCCCAGGAGGGTGTTGGTTCTTAGAAAATGCAGACGGATGTTGGTGGCTTTGGTAAAATCCTGCAGGACTGGGGAATATGAGAAATTCTTGGCTCCAGGACGACCGTTCACCAGAGACACAACAATCTAATAAAAAAAAAGGATTTGGTTTCAGTTAATGCTGGCAAAGAGATCCAGTTTTAACTTGTTTGTGAATGAAGGCAGTTGTGTGGCCATGTATGAGATATCTTGACCCACTCCTGCAGTGTGATAGTAAAAAAAGCCTCTAGGGTTTTCATACTGGGGCAAGTAACATATACATTTTGCAGTTCCTTTTGATTTGACCAAGTTTTTTCATATTTCATGTAACACTAGTTATTGGCAATATTTACAGTATAACTATAGTTTTTTTATCTGTGAGGTTTAGTAACTTTCTAATCTTCAATTCAATCCTGAATTTATAAAAAAAACAGTTAATACTGCTATGTTTGTTAATTTCCTTCTCTTCTTGATGATCTGTAAATTAATGAAATTGATTATATAGCTTAAACTGAAATTGATTAAGCTTCTAGAGTATTTGATAATGTCCAAAAAAGTGTCAATTTGCTTGAACAATCTTTTGGACATTATCAAACACTCTAGAAGCTGCAAATGAAATTTAAAAATATGTAAATAAAATTCAATGCTGGGCAAACAGTTCTGTGAGTATTTTAGCATACATCAGACTTATAACCAGAAGCTGAGGAGTTGTAACTTCTTCAAACATTTCTCTTTGAAGAATTCAAGACTGTAAAGTTATGAAGATGTCAAAAAAATAAAAAGCAATTCATTCAAAACAGACTTTAAGGCAAAAAGATCTTGAGCTGAGAAATATATCATGTTTCTGTCATGTTTCGCCTCTTTGTTTCTTCAATAACGATGAAAGTCTTACCTCCCCATTCTCCAATGGTACTATCCGTGAGTACTCTGTTGTACAAATTTGGTCATCATCTCTATATATACGTCCATTAGGGTCCTTTCCAAACCTTTCAATGCAATCTCCTTTTGCATCTGCAAATTAAAAGGAGATTTAAAATTCCCTTGTTAGGAAAGCACATATGATTTAATGAAAAGTTCTTCATCCAAGAAATAGCTAAGCCTTCACAACCACATTTTCTGTGTAACTCAACTAGTTTTGTCTCGGAGAATGTACACATTACTGATCTTGTGTGGACACAGTACACAGTAGTGCTGCTGAAATGTGCTTGACCCAATTGTCCCATCAACTTGGCTTGATAAATGGATGTCTTTTGTTGTTATCAAACTCTGAGTAATGAGTTAACGTGCCTTTATTTTGTTATGCATCATCATTTGCAGTCAAAATTATATAAAGACATTCAATGGATGCCTCAGAGGTAATACACAAGTCTTATATATGTCTCAACATATCATTTATTACAAATGAGTAACTGAAATTGATGACAAAAGCTTGTGAGTAAAGGCTAGCCCATCCACACCCAGTGATGTATAAATACGGGTAATGAACATCCCTTCCCCAGTGCCCACTGACTGCTCACCCTATCCCATCATAACTCTTGAAGCTGCTCCTAAGCTCATTCCACATAGCAAAGGGGAGTTTCGATGTCCTCACCCTTACCGCCAGGATTTTGTTCTCTCACCCAAATCAGTTAGATATGAATCAATCTCTCTGCTGCGCACTCACTACATTGCTCAGATACTAGTGTTAGTCCAAAAACCTTTCAAAGGTTTTAAAGGTAATTTCACAAAAGTCATGAAGCTCTACGCAATAAGGTATCACAGTCCACCAAAAGAACACTGTAAGGACCCATATCACCATGATGACTTAGCTGTTTTTTTTTTCCTCTGGAAATTACAGAGATTATCTGCTCTTTAGACTCTTGCAAAAAGGGGTGAGGTGCAGTGGACACGTAAGCATATAGAACAGGGGTGGACTCAGCAAATATCAACACCTTTCAAGCAACGGTCAGGCCTATATCTAGAGGTGTGGTCAAAGGTGGCAGAGGGAGCAAATTTAACCGTTGACTCAACAAAGTTCAGAGAACTAAGAAAACCCTTCCTACCTGGATGGAAGTACTCACTGCATTCTTCTTAAATACTGAAGGACAAGCTGATACAAGTGTGTTTGTTTAAATAAAAGACAAAATCTTCAAATAAATGGCAAAACTTAATAACTCTTTCAACATTTAAGTTTTGGCAATCAAATAGCTATATTCTGTACTGTAGATAATTAATTATGATTTATACATTTAATGCTCATAGTTTATTCTGAATTACACTTCCAGGGTGAAATAAGGGTAGGTAATTGCTAGCATGTTCTTTTATTGTCAGCCACAAATCTCTCTCTCTCCCTGCTAAAGAGAAGCTTATCCATTCCTTGGACTCTTCATAAATATGATCCTCTGTTTGCTGTCTGTAGTCTGTAGTGCACTACATAGAGGGAACAATATGCTTCTTGGGTCCTCTAGCGTTGTCAAGTGTTTCTTTGAACACTTGTATTTAAAGATAGCACTGCCCGCAGGACACACGAGAAAGGACAGAGCTGACGTTTATTAACAGAGGGCTTCCCCCTCCTGGCTCCGGGGGCCCAGAGACCTGCTGGTTTTTGTTCCAGTTGAGTTCTCAGGTTACCCCACTGAAGGCCTTAACTGAAATATTAATAGGATTCAATTCAACAGATTTGTGCTGTTTGTTATAAGCTCATAAACAGGTTGGAAGATACCGTTTAACTACTGCATGTCAAAAGCAACAAACTGTGCAATCCCAGACCTCAGAGTAGAAAAAATACTTGCATGTACTCCAATCAAACAACTTGTTAGTTCGATTAAGGCTTCAGTTATGTAATTAAGCTCATCTGGAATGAAAACCAGCAGGAGTGGATCTGCTGGACCAAGAGTGGGAATCTCTATAAACTAACCCTTGCACCTGCTCCAACAGGCCAAAAACCAACTGGGCATTAGTAAGTACATTAGTAGATTAGCAGGGTGGCAGTAATTACCACCAAAAAAAATAAATAAACAGTTGACTAAAAGCTGAAGAATATTGAAAGAGTTAAAATGGGCAAAACATATTTTTATGAAACCAGATGAAACCACATGCGGCCGGATAGAAGACGAAAAATTCTTCTCAAATCTGCCTATTTCAGAAAGGATGCAATGTAGGTCCATAGTACAGATCAGAGGAGCAAGCAAGAGTGAGAGGAGAGAAAGAGAAAGGAGAAGAGGAAGGAAGACCAGCGGAGAAGTAACTGGACCCTGAGAGAGTTTTACTCCATCTTCAGAGTAAGAAACCAGATCCTATCTAGACAACCTGAGGATGAGAAGAGCACAGTACTCTAAAGAAAAGGGACATGGTGTCTTACAGTATATTGTTGAACTAATTCCACAATGGTGAAAACCACAGGCTAAAAGACATCTCTCCTGGTTTAGAGATGCACTGGTTGGAAAAGGGTTCACATTTATTTATTATGGGACTTTTAGTGAGTGATTCAGTCCTTGGCAGGATCCCAGCACATAGGTTCCTTCTTTGCTCTTGTTTTTTTTTTTAGTTTTACACCTCAATTTCAGGATAAATTCAGTATTTTCTATGCCTGTAGAGGGCATGGCTCTGATCCTCACAGAACTGTAAAAAGCTGTACATAGGTACATAGGCAGACACATTCTGTGTTGTGTAGTTGTGTCTCATTGTAAGTAACTAGGTGTCTGTTTGCTTCCTGGTAATTACTTCGTTACCAAGCTGTGCCAGACAAATCAAGAACACACATGCTATGATACGCTCTGTATTCTCTGACAATAGGGGGCGTAATTATTGTTAATTTTTATAATTGACTTATAATTGAAACGTGGTGTCTGGCCCTGACTTACATATTGGTTTGACATCTCTTATTTTATAATTATCCACATGCGCCATTTGCAACATCTATATACTGTACATTACTGTACAGTACTATGGCTGTCTGTTCATTGCTGTGGACTAATGGGAAGAATGTCTGCAATTTCCATATTTAGAGGCTTTTCTCTGTCTTCCAGCACTCTGCAGTATATCCCATTTCAAGCAAGGCCATTCATTATGAGCACAAAGCTCCTTTTCATTCATGTCAATAACTTTTTTATAAAGCTAATTATCAAATTATTCACAATGTCAACTCAATGTTTGCTTTCAGTTTAAATTTGATGTCTAAAAACTTTATATTTTTTATGATGACATTGAAATGTTTCTAATGCAGTTGTTTTAAGTAATCAAAACCAGGGCTTTCGAAAATAATACTTTTCAAGTCCTTGAATAATTCTTTTCAAGTATTTGTTCAGCTTTATTTTGTGACCTGATTTGTGCTGAAGACCAATCCTGAGGTAAAGGTAGTTCTTCTGTCCCACCAGTCCTGTCCTAAGACCTCACATCAAAGGAGGGGAGGGAAGAGAGAGTGTCAGTTGCTTTCTTTACCAAGTGCAAGCAGACAGCTCTGAAAGGCTGAATTCTACACAATAGCACCCGACTTCAATCAGTCTGAGAGGAGTTAGTCAAAGGCCCACCTCTTCAGCTGCTTTGACTCAGAATGCTGTATTTTTACTTTATCATGTTACTAGGATGCCTGCAATTTACAAGAAGTTTAACCTGGTGTCCAAGAAGGAACTGGAAAGCATAAATGTGGGTAGCTCTCCAAAAACACAGGAAGCAATATAAAACCATCAGTGGGTTACAGGAGGGTTTGGGGTTTTCACAACAGTTAGGATTAGACATAGGTTAAAATCTGCATTCATTTAAAGGTCAGGGAAAAGGTCAAGGTTAGGTTGAGGAGTTTAGATTAATTTTTTTTTTGGGGGGGGGGATCTCTTGTATTGAATGATATTCCAGAAAAAGGAAAGAATCATACTGTATGTACATTTTGAGCATAATGGAGTTTATGCCATTAATTGTGTGTAGAGAGCAGAGTTTCGCAATTTGGGCAAACACCAGTCACATAGCCCATTAAGGTCATTTCTCTTCAAAGCTCTGCTGTTACTGCTGTGGATGCTGGTCATCAGTTGTTGCTACCAGTCGGGTAGCTCCCACATGCTGGTAGCTAATGGAACCAAATGCAGCCACATGGAGTGATCATAGTGGGTTCAGTCAGTGCACAAGGACATAAAAAGAGTTACAAACAACAGGAGGCCACTCATCAGCATGAATAATACCACCGCATGATAATATCAATTGATCTCGGGGTCTCATTCAGCCAACTGATGAAAGAAACCCTGGTGTCAGCTTCAACCACATGTCACGGCTTCTAATAATCCGAGTCACACCTCCAGCTCAATCAATCCGAGAAGGCGTAAACTCTAGGGATGGTTATCCAATCCGCTTCCCCGTTTTCCACCACAGCCCCCAGGGATAGCATACTTCAGGGCAGCCCGCAGAGGAGTCAGAGGAGTCAGTGGCTAAATACAGTACTGTACGCCACTTTATCTTTACTTCTGGATATTGACCTAGTTTGTTGTTCACACGACCAAGAGCTTGGATAACCCTTTGTCAGACTTCTGGCTTGTAGTTTCCCAGACTCCAGAACAGGGTCCATTTCACATTCTTACCACAACATGGCTGGGCATCTTGTTTCACAATCCCACAACCCCATAGATGACTGTTGTGTGAGGACAACGAATAGGTCATATTAAATTCTACAACATGGTAGCTAACATTTAGAATTAGGTTAAAGATATATTGGTGCAAGAATAGCTATATGAGAAAGTTAAGACCCAGTGCAAGATGGGTAAAACAATGGTCAGGTCTAAGATAGGTCTGAGGTTTATAGCGAGTTAGTAGAGAGAAAGAGTCTTTGTTACCTCCAACGGCCAATTCGTTAACACAGTAAGACTAGAAGGTTAGAACACATGGAAGGCTACAAAAGAGAGGAGGCCACCTGTCCCTTCTGTCTCACTGGGCAGTTAGCAGCTATTGGGTGTGTGGGCTTCAACAACAGCAGCATGGCAGTGTCGCTTTTACCGCTTGTCGACTCCCACAACTCTTCTCTGTGAAGAAGTGTCTCTTGTTCCCAATTATAAATGCACTTCACCCTAAGTAAGGGTTGTGGCTGAATCTGTGAATACTGTTAGGGATCAGAATAGTTTACAGAGAGAGTCCAATGTGGCTAAAGCTATTAACAGGGTTAGGAGTAGAGCTAGGTTTAGACTGAAGGATTAGATTATGGATAATACTATGGATAGAGTTATACTGTATATACAGATGCAGAATCCACTGGGAATAATATAATAATGTTATTTCACTAGTTAAGGTCTTGTTTTACACATTTTTTTAAGATTACAAGGTTTTTGTTTTTCATAGTTAAGTACTGTAAATGCCCAGTGATTACACCTTCTGAAGAGAGTTGTTTCGTCCTGTTACTCCACTAACACCAAATTACAATCTACATAGCTCCTTACCACCGCAACAAAAATGTCTGTGATTGGGACTCAAAGAGGGCAAAGATTTCTTTTTAAATTATAGACCTGCCTGAAAGAATTTTTCATATGAAAGAAGAAAGCATTGAAAGCATTAAAGAACACCTGGGCATCTTGGCAACATTATTAAAGACTCATACATCACTTCTGTATGACTTACTTGCAGATGGCTTAAATTAATAGATAAAACAGGATAAAACGTACAGCATGATGGTCTCAGCTTTTCTTAATATTTTAACTTTAAATGCAGGTAGCAGGTCTAACAGTGTGTTGAGGATTTTCCAGTGGTACATATGCAATGTCCAGGATTGGGCTAGGCTCTGAATATCAGATATCAGTGTATTCTTAATTCTGAGCACTATGTTTGTTTGTATTTATATTTTTATCACAAAATATATTTTATTAGGAATGTTTTAATATACAGCCATCTCAGCAGCTTCCACAAATAAAGTGCTAATAAAAGATGATTAAAATATAGCAATGTAAGAAATATAGGTTGGGTATTGTCTATGAAGATGTAATTCTATAAAATAAGTAATATGGTGATTACAATGTGTACTTTGCCACCCTTTGTTTCATCTGTGTTGCTCCTTGGGCAATTATGAAAAGCAATGAAGGCAAACACAGACAAATCCTGGACTATTCTGCAAACACAACCGTGACCACTGCTGCATGCTGTATTTTGATATGCTTCACCACTGCTGTACCCACATCTCTTCATTATCTTCACCACAAAACAACTTCATATTATCTATAATATGACAAACAAAACTGAGACTTGATCCATGTTTCAGGGCAAGAAATTAATATATTACAAACATGCACTCCAATAAACAGATTTATGCACAACTCATATGTAAATCAATAACCATAAACCGCTGACATACTGTAATACAGGTTGTATAGTCCATCCAAAATAAGAGACCTAAAGTAAAAGATCTTTTGGATGTTGAAATCCGAAACCTCATACTTATATCTGGAAGCAATAAAACATTGGAGATGCAGGTGTGTTGCACAGGTCAATAGTATATAAAGCAAATTTGCAGGGATGTTTGTGTGCTCCAAAAATAAACATATACAGCCTTAGTCCAGGGCTGTAGTCCAGACACAGTACTGGAGCTTCTGCCAAAGGTACAGTAGAGAAGAAACTGAAGTGTTTATCAGTGGTGAAGGAATCTCAAGAGCAGCATTTGGTGAGTGCAGCACTGATAACCTGATTGGAGCCATAACTCTAAGGAAAACACATACACCCATTCAAAACTGTAATCATTCATGAATTTGTTATATGAAGCACAAAGTTGTGGTTATTTTAAAAAATACAGTAAAACATAAATCTCTCTGTTTTAATTCTATTATCTTCTAAGAGAGACAGGTTTATTTCACCAAACTCACGTGCAAAGTACTGCCAAGCAGAGTAGGTTCTTCCAAAGTCAACTGAGTGCTCAAGAACCCAAAGGTCAGGACGGGGAGAGTTGGCAAACTTGATGAGGACATAGGCCACGTGGAACAGCTGAAATTAAGAACACAAATAGAATCATCTTAGTCAAGAGGCATCACTGCGATGTGACTAATTATTATAACACTGATTCAAAGCATGATCCTTTTATAGAGTAAATTTAGCAAGCCTTAGTTTTTAAGCAGCCAATGTCATTGGGCCTTTCTAGCAGTTCTGAATTTAACAATAGTGTTCAAGGTCCAGAATTTCAAGACCTGTTTTTGGATTGCTGATACTTTAGCAAAGAAATAGAATGTTGTAATTACAACTATTTTTACATGCATGTGACACAGAAAACGTTATTGGTAAAAAATATGGTGCCAATATTTTCAGAAATGTGAGGTTATAGTAGTTCCTGTATTTCCCTCAAAATGGAGACACAAACACTATCTGTACTGGGTACCATTCATCAGAGTATTTGCAAAGACATGGAATCCTAAACAGTCATGACAAAAAAAGACTTTCTTGTGTGTGAACATCTTTCAATGTATATAGAATAGTTCCTGCACACATTTTGCAAATATGCTATTTATTACTGCCAAGTCAAAATCTTAGAATCAACAAGTGACATGCAGAGTACTGGGATGGAAAAGAAATATGTTTGTTCTCCTTCATTCCAGTCCAAGGGTTTATAAAATACCGAACCCCTGAGTTAAAATAGAAGGGAATAAATTAACACTACAATAAAGCAACAACTTTTTGACAATGTATAAGTCACAAACATGTCCAGATTTCACACAGAAAACTAGGACATAAACTAGCTTAATCTGATAAAGATCCTTGGCATGTACTGTACATATCCCATTGGCCCTAAATTGGCTTGTGTCTTCTCTATACAAGCAATAACCCCTCAGTTAAAATCCTGTCAGGTGATGTCATTTCAGCCACTCCTGGAATCAAGAATACAGGAATGTTAGCATTCTACCCAGAGTTCAAACACTGGGAGAGCTCCAGATCTGCTTGTCCAAACTCGATCAGTTCACCATTTCATCTTCAACATTGCTCACTAGTATGAATCAACCTCTAATACGCTTTAAAAAATACCACAGTTGGCTATCGTATAACAATATTTATTAAACCAAGATAATCTGTGAGCAACATTGTGTCAAATGCAAGGCCTACCACTGAAAATGATCTTATATTCTGTAATGCATACAGTTCAAATATTGAAACAGTCTGGGCCAATTAGGTGTGCAACACAAAGGTCATTTGCTGTATATGTGGTAGGGGTGGAGACGGCATTCATACTCTGATGACAGCTCTGTCACATGAGCCACCATGAACTATTGTATACCCCAAAGGAGCTTTTGTCATACCAGAAAGAGTAAAAAAAATCACTGGAAATAAGAACTGGCAGAAGCAAACATATTTCTAATGGAATCTGGCAGGTTTCATGGATTTTCTATTCTTTCAGCAGCACAAGTTTCCTGTAATACAGTCAGTAACAAAATACCACAATGCACTAAACTACACATTTGGCAGTCAGACTCAACAATACTTCTCTTCCTCAGATTGAAAACAGAGGCAAAACTGTACTGAAAACAAAATTGATTTTGGGAGCATGTGAAAGAAAACTACTTTAAACTGTGTAGTTCTTTAATTCTCTGCAGCCAATATGCAAAAGCTATCTCATTTCTAAGGTTGCAGTGTTGGGATCTGTACGTTTATAGCCATAACCAGCAACATGCATGTATGTTTACTTATAGACACAAGGTGCAAAACTCAGACACTGTCAAGACAGCAAGAGGGAAAAATTTCAAGACCAAAAAATATCCCTTGCTTAAACTTAACACTGCTTGTGAAATTTTAAAATTATTTAGGCATAATACACACTGTTAAATGCATGAACACTGTTTAACATATTATAATACAATGTTTAAAATGGGTGGCATGGTTGCTCAGTGATTAGCATGGCTACCTCACAGTGCTGGGAACCTGGGTTCAGTTCTGGATCTGGGAGGAGTTTGTATGTTCTCCCCATGTTTGCATGGGTTTCCTCCAGGTGCTCCATTTTCTCCAAATACTGGTAGGCTAACAAGCGTCTGGGAAAATTGGCCCTGTGTTTGTGTGTCTGTGTGTGTGTCTCTGTCACCTGTTGCTAGCAAGGACAGGCTCCGGCTCTCCCACGACCCTGAACTGGAACTGAAAATAGGTTAGAAAATGGATGGATGTCTCCACAAACATTTGACACTGTGTTATCACTACCAGAGCAATTGGATGATGGGGTTCTCACCTCAGAAAAGCACAAAAACAGCCATTTGTGATGCTATCCTTAAGCAAGCACTTACCCTGACCATCCCCACACCTACACCACTGGTAATACCCTGCACACTGCCAAGAAAAAGTTTGTGAACCCCCAATATAAATATGGGAATTAACATTTCTTCCTGCGATGCCCTTGCTTAATCAAAACATTTTTTCCTTGAATAACCAATGTTATTTAAGGTTTTATATTCATCAGTTCAATGTTCTGTGAGGTGCAATGATGTATGTGATGAAAAAAAATGAATAATTAAGAACCAGTACATACTGTAGCATATGAAATAAAAAGCAAATTCCTAGTTGTCTCAACACAATTAAGGGCATAATTAGACTGAGGCTGTTAAATAACTGAGCAATAAATAAACAAGCACTTGGTCTGGGCAGCCAAGTCTGATATCATGGTCAGGAAACTTGTAACTTTGGTCTTTACCATAAACCACTAACCAAAAGAGATTCAAAAGAGAATAACTGAGGCTCACCAGTATAGAAAGGATTACAAAACCCTTTCCAAACATTTGGGGCTCCACCGGTACACTGTCAGACAGTGTTGTAGTCAAGACCACAGTGACTCTACCCAGGGACAGTAGTCCTGCCAAAATCTCCCCAAGAGTAACACCAAACAAGCACTGTGCAACACCCAGAGTAACACCTGAGGATCTGCAGGCCTCTCTTTCCGCAGCTAATATGAGGGTTCATGCCTCAATCATAGTGAAAACACTGAACGGCAAAGAATTTTCAAGGGAGTTTAGACAAAAAGACACTATTGCTCTTTAAAAAGAACAATGCTGCATGTCTGAAGTTTGCCAAAGAGCACCTGGACAATCCACAAGACTATTGGAAGAATTTGTTCTCCCGAAAGATGAGTCAAAAGTTTAACTTTTTTTAATAAGAAACACTCCGTATGGCAACAACCAAACACCGCCATCCAGCAGAAGAGACCCATCCTGACTGCCAAGCACTGTGGTGGGCGTATCATGGTTTGGGGCTGCTTTGCTTGCCATCACCGAGGGAACCATGAATCTGGCGTTGTGTCAGGAACTTCAGGAGGAGAGTGTCAGGCTGTTCATTCATGAGCTGCTGCTCAGCCAGAAGTGGGCCACGACAGCAGCAAGACAAAGATCCTAAACACACAAGCAGATCTATAACCGAATGGCTGAAGAAGAAATTTTACATTTTACAGCAGCCAAGTCAAAGTCTGGACCCAAACGTCTTTGAAATGTTAGGACAGGACCTGAAGCAAGCTGATCATGCTAGAAAACTCTCCAAAATGTATAAAAGCCACAAAGCGAGAGACCGATAAAGTCACAAGAAATGTCTAGTTGATGTCATTGCTACTCAAGGTGATACAATCAGTTATTGAATCTTAGATATTTACTGTTGGATTGCTTCATTAATGAAATGACCCAAATATATCTTATTTCTTTGTTATACTTCTAATCAAGGTGTCTCCATCTTTTATTAAGACTTCTTGAAGATCTAATTATGCTCAGGGCTAAAATGCACGAGAATGTAGACAAATCTGAGGGAGTGTCACACTTTTTTTTGTAGCTACCACACATTTCCACTGCACAGTAAATTTACCTTATTTTTCATCATTACTTGCCAGTTTTACAATAATGTACTACGTGATAATAATACAAATTTGAAAGGAAACCAGAGCTCCTGGGGGAGCCCATGAGGAGAGCATACTGTACAAGCTGCACGCAGATGGCACCCCAGGAACTGAACCCAGAGTCTCAGCACGGCCAGGCTGCAATGCTGACCATTGTGCCACCGTGCTGCCCTGTTACCATTTTTTTATTATTTTAATTTTCTATTTTAGAATGAACCATTTTATTTAAATAATGTGACCGGGGGCAATCCTGTCACTTGAGCATCTGCTGACTGAGGACAGGCTGGAACTTGGAAACAGGCTGGACAGGCTGGAACCAGCCACCATGCAGTTCACTGAAGAGCCAGATCACAGCTCCTGCTGTGGGGTTAAAGATCAGAGGCCTGTGGACGAACACCTGGGAGTGAAATTCCTCCATATTGACAGCTACTCAGCTGTGTCATACAAACTACAGGCACAAGGGAGAAAGGAACCACCATTTATTTATAAATATTTATATTCACCATTTATTTATTTATACCATATATTTTCCATTGAATGGGGAAATTCAATTTCTTGACGTTTGACAACACAGGGTTTTCTTGAGCCTGAACCCTACCAATGGCATCCACAACTTTATTTTGTTTTCACCGAGGCCCACAATCTCTTAAGATTTAAGCTAGAAGTGATCTAGCTCCTCAAAATGTGAAAAATGCAGAAAACATTCTCTTGGTTTTAGACGAAAGCCACTTCCAAAATGTGTTAAAAGGATCTTTGAGGCCTTTGTATGGCTGTGGTTCTAATCAACACCTTTCTGATACTATGTGGGTATGGCGCTCAAGTCTTTTTTAAGTCTTGATCAAAGATGTTTCTTTGGATATAAATTGCTGAAATTCATTTTAAAAATTAACCCCCTGCACAAGTCGCAACTCTAAACATTGAAAAACCGATACAAAAGTTCATCACAACTGTGCTCCGTGTTTTTGGACATATTTTACAATCAAAATGGCCATATTTCCCTTGGGGAACGCTGCATGTACTGTACGGTGCTACCTGAGGCTTTATCATTAAGGACCAAATGACTTTAATAAAAATATAAATAATTAATCATTTTTATAATATAAGAAAATGAAAAGGTGAAAAGCAAATATAATTCCAGAGA